TTGGCCAATTTAGTTACTTTTTTACCAGTCATTGGCCAATTTAGTTGCTTTTTTACCCGTCATTGGCCAATTTAGTTGCTTTTCATCACTAATTGGCCAATTCACTTACTTTTCTCCAGTCATTGGCCAATTTAGTTGCTTTTCATCACTGATTGGCCAATTTACTTACTTTTCTCCTGTCATTGACCAATGTAGCTCTTAACCGCCAGTAATTGGCCAATTTAGTTACTTTTTTAACAGTCATTGGCCAATATAGTTGCTTTTCATCACTGATTGGCCAATGTACCAGTCATGACCAATGTAGCTCTTGACTGCCAGTAATTGGCCAATTAAGTTGCCTTTCATCAGTAATTGGGCAATTTTGTTACTTTTCACCAGTCATTGGCCAATATAGTTGCCTTTCATCAGTCAATGGCCAATTTACTTACTTTCCCCAGTCATGACCAATGTAGCTATTGACCACCATTAATTGTCCAATTTAGTTGCTTTTTACCAGTAATTGGCCAATTTGGCTACTTTTCACCAGTAATAGGCCAATTTAGTCACTTTCCACCACTAATGGCCAATTTAGTTACTTTTCATCAGTCATTGGCCAATTTAGTTACTTTTCACCAGTCATTGGCCAATTTAGTCACTGTCAACAGCCATTAAATTTTCCATCCACCATGTGCCAATTCATCCGGTTGCATTTTGACAAGTTCTGCTAAATAAAATCATTGGGCAAGTCATCCAGCTAAGGAGTCGACTAATCTACTTTTGTCACCTGTAAATAATTCAGTTTACACCTGTTTGTTTTACTAAGTCATGGTTTTGTTACTTTTAGTTACTGTCAATCATTAGTTATTTGGAAAGTCACCCATTGCATTTTCAGAGTATTATATAGTATTAGTTACTTCTTACTTCATTATTAATGTTGGGTAGCTGCGATTAGTCAAATTTAGTTGGTTACTACTAACATTAAACAGTCAGTCATTACATGCCAGAGGACAATTTACCAGCTAATACATTGTATAGCACCAACTTGCCCAATATGACACTACTCATCAGTATGAGGTCCGATCCTCAACATTTGTTCCTTTAGGATATCTGTTGTACCACAAGTGGAAAAAAATAGAATGCCATACTCAAAGTCAAAAGGCAAACAATTCCATGAAAAAGCAAAGGGGACATACACAACACAGTACAACAGAGTAAATTCAGAGGAGAAATGCGTCAACCTCGTGCAAATAAATCAAGAGGTGATGAAATTCATTCCATGTATAACATAAACAATTATTTTAAAATGAGCATTATTTAAGTTTTAGTTCATTGTTCAGGAAGGTTGAAACTTGAATATCTCTGAGAATATATTGTACATCTTCGTACAAATTGTACAATGCATTTGAACACAAAGTGCATATTTCATTAATTTCCTCTTGTGGTAGATCTATCAAATCATTTCCTTTTGTTTTTATTCCATGTTCACAAACCTGCATCTTTTCTGTAACCAATAATAGTCAGTCTACAGTGTATTAATACTTGCATTGAACCCTTAGAGTGATGACTAGATTCCAGTGTTTAATATCAGATTCTCCAGTTGCTAGGCAACTACATGTATGTGCACAACTGTCGATCTTACAAGCAAAAGGTTGGGTTATCATATTACGAAAATTCAATGTATATGCATAGTTTGATTTTTTTATTGTAGACATTCAGGTTGCCTTTGAAAGTTTGAAAGAACTGTTCTTAAAATATGACAAACAATGAAAAACACTGCAAGGGGCAACATACAACAATGTTATATACCCCTCACTTATTGCTTTGCGAAATCGACATATGCACACACTCAGCAACATATAAACAAGAGAACTGTGTTTCCTCACTACTTCATCTATCCTATTAAAGATAAAACCGTTTTGGGGTTAGCCCATCGGTATAAGTATCCAATCCACAAAGGCAACAATAAAATACCGACAGGCGGGATTAAAACCCTCAAAAAATATTACACCAAAACAAACTCAAATAACACCCTTCATCGGAAAACAAAAATTACATAGATTTGGGTGTTCACACAAAGCATTTTGTCTTTTGATTTCGCTATGGTGTAATATTATGTCAGTGCTTTTTTGTATCTTGCCTGGGCAATTTATTGTTTGTTGTTATACTTATAGATGTTTATATATCTGATAAAAATCTGATGTAGGTACAATAGTGGGATACTGGTTGCTTTTTAGTATGGCATTATACACACCTCCAACAAAATCTGACCACTGCAAGTAACATTCAAGCATCTCTCTGTGAGGATTTATCAACCAATTAGTTCATGCCTCATGAAAACAGACATGCTAGAAACCATCTTGTAACACAGGTTCTGATTGGTTGCTGATCTGATCTGATCTTATATGTATTGAACCCAATGTTGTTAGAGGTGTGTGTTCACCAGCAGTCATAAACCAGAAACAATCTACTTACATCGGATTTTAATTAGATTGAAATTTGCACTTCTTATCTATAGTTGAATTGATGTTCGTCTTCAAAACCATTTCTACTTTGCACCTACTCGTACATCTCCCAGTAGTTTTCCTCCTTTCCACTGACACCTACATCTGTTTATTGTTCGTACCCGCAGACAATGGAGAATGAGGGGGATGTTATTGAGAACATTGAAGTAGAAGATGTGGTGCGAGTGTTAAAACATGAAGTTGATAAGTTTGTTTTACCAGCTGGAACAAAACTCTCGCCTGCTGCCAACTGTAAAGAACTGAAGCTTTGCCATCCAGAGTTCTCAGATGGTACATGATGGCTTTTCGATTTAATGACACTTTTATCAGCCTGTAATTTTGACTTAAACTAGGGATCTCTCTTACTGAATCAAAAATAGCAAGTTATAACAAAACATTAATACAAGTATTAATAAGTTTTCAAAACTTAGAAACTCATTGAAATTTTATTTAAAATATGTTTGCACGATAAATTATTTGAATTTAGTTTTGAATAACTGCATTTTAATTTTAGATTGCATATCCTTAATCTACGAACATGTGTTATTCTGAAAATATCAAACTATTGGGCATGAACGAAACACTGATCTTGTTTCTTCTAGGATATTACTGGATTGATCCTAATCAAGGTTGCAATATAGATGCATTTGAAGTGTTTTGTAATTTCACTGCTGGTGGACATACATGTATACTTCCTACTAATTCATCTCAGTCAGTAAGTGCAATTATATGTTATGGTATGCTTTTAACAAGATGGTGAAGACAAACTAACAAATTTAATACTTCATTGTATTCTATTGTACTATATATTTCTTTTGAATTGTTTTTTACCTTTTTTAGTCTCCGTTCGAATGCAGTCGGAAAACGGGGACTTGATTGATTGACCTTTTGTGTGTGTGTCTGTGCGTGCATCCAAGGCTGAATCTTAGACATGCCGACCGATTACAGTCAAACTTCACACATACATCATACATAATATTATACATATGCACATCAATTTGTTTCACGATCTGATTCAAGATGGCTGAATTTTTGTACCGAAAAATCATCAAAATCAAGCATTTCTCAGATGTTTACAGATGGATTTTGTTTAAACTTGTTACATACATTGGACATTATGGGACCTTGATCTCACATCATTTTGTTGTTTCAGATAAGATTAAAAATGGCCGACTGGCGGCTGTTTTAAAGAATGTGATTCTAGAGCCATATCTCTGACATGCTTTGACTGATGTTCAAATTTTTAGCTCTTCTGTTGACTTTGTCGAGTGGAGCTTATATGAGTGATTGTCAACTTTTTACTTTTTCAACTTTTTACTTTTTCAACTTCTTCTTGAAAAGAACAAGCCTGAATGCTTTGAACCTTGGGTAGACCTCTTTTAGATTTGTTCATTTCATGATGATATCTTTAATAAGGCAATGTCCAGCATTATAATACCATAAACAAACAAACAAGTAATTCACTACAGAACCTCTGAACATCGCATAACCACCCCCCACCCCACCCCCACCCCCACCCCACCCCCAAATGCTCATCAACTGACTCTCCATCAAAGAACACAGCAGCACAACAAGTCACATAAAACAGCAG